TTTTTTTTTTTTTTTTTTTTTTTTTCTTTTTCTTCCCCCTGTTCTCCTTTCTTTTAATTCAGAGGCAAAGGTGATCTGGTCATAAGCTTTTCAGGCTAAAAAAATCGGCTGTTTTCAGCCTTAACCACAATGCATAGAACAGACATGCTGTGCTGCTACTCTTCATTTAGCAAGAGTTGAAGACAGAGATGAGCAAAATAAATTAATCATTCTATCACATACTTAGGTTTGGAAGTCTGTACAAAGCTAATAGATCTGGGCCCTCTGAAGCATGGTTCTATTCAAAGCCACTCTGTGAACTATCTTAATACATGTTACCAGTTTAGTAATTTTGCTTATTTAATTATTTGTTTTTGGAAAGTAGTTATTTTGCTAAAACAACATAAATAAAATTTGTTGAAACAGAATTCTTCTGATGCAGATTTTCTCCTCTTATATTTTTCTATTCCTGTGTTCTTACTTACCTGGCAGGAAGAAGAATATACTTTAGTAACTGCTGACTTTGGGGAAGCAAGAGACTAGATTTTATTTCCAAATAATTGTAAAAATGTTTTACCTATTAATTTGTTTTCCTTATAAAGGAATTGAAGTAGGTGATAGAAAAAGGAATGCTTTTCTTCCCCTTTTGGTGGAGGGGACTTCCTTTTATTCCCTTGCCTGTTATTACATTTTTCTAAAGACCTGCCATATGAATYTCACTGGTAATTCAAAGATTTAAAGATTTAATAGTAAAATTTCAAGCAAATGCTCCTGCTTCAACAAAAGCTTGGAAAACTTAATTAGTCTGTAACTTTGTATCTATGCTGCTATTTCACTTTTAAATAAGGAGCATACAGCACCCTATAGTTGCTTCCTCATTCTTTAATTAATGTGTAAACCTTGACAGCTGCAGTGGCTGCAGATGAAAAGCACTGCTTAGGTAGCTGCATCTCTTTTCTGTGCTTATTTCTGAGATTAAGATCCTTCTTCCACATCTCTTCATGTTGGTTAGTATGAAGGCYGTGCAAGTGCGTAATATTTGCAACCACATAAAATCCTTTTGCAATTAATGTTGTCTCATTAGGTTCTCTCAAAATACATTTCTGTACCGCTTTGTGTTAAGAACAATAATTGCTGCATCTCAGGCTTAATGCAGAGTTTTGCCTTTAGGTTCTTTCTTTCAGAAAGATGGCACTGARTGTATTTAAGCACTTAGGCAAAATAATCTAGGTTCCAGGGTTCAGGTTGTTTGGTCTTGAAACAGTAAATCGTAGGCAATACACCATTTATATATTTTAATATATCTGTCTATTTYGAGTAGTTTAATTTTTCCCAAAACGTCATTCAGAGTAACTTGGAATTTTGCCAGTTGAAATTGTTTAAGCTGCTAATGCCACTATTTAATTTATTTAAAAATTGTTGATATCTATAGGTAACAAGGGATGAATTTTGATGTAGAATTATTTATATATCAAATTTAAACCAAATATTCTTTATAGAAGTTGTATTTCTAATTGGAATTAGAACATTTGCTATGGTTTGCCATATTTATTTTTAAGGATATCTCAATTTCAAACTCCAGGAATAATTGTAGTAGCTTGGCAGCCAGTATGAAATAGTAATCAGTAAAATATTCTACTGAARCTCCCTGTCAAAGTTTTACATATGGCTGATTGCTGTGCATTTGCCTGACAAAAGTAATGCCAGATTTACGCTCAGTTCTGTGAGCCTCTGTGAGCCCTTTTTACCTCAAATATGAGGAATAAATTACATTGTCCTTTGCTGCCCCAGCTAGGCTGGTGCAGATACYGTGTGATGTGGAAGGACCTTGCTTTGCCGTGCAGAGAGGTGGGGTCACGTTGCTGACAGAAAAACACCCTCCCGTTGCGACCCGCCACGGCTACGTGGCAGAGCTCTGCTGATGTAGTTGGTTCAGACCTCAACAGCTCTGAACCAAACGCGACTGTTCCCTTTGTGGAGTAGTTTGGATCTGCAAAGAAAAAGCACGGGATTTAAACATGTGATGAGATGTGTTTGTCTCACTAGTGCCGAATACAATGGGGTGTTGCAGTAGGAAGGTGCTGGCGTGGTGCATTGTACCAACATCTAAATGCGTGTTGTGCTTGCTTTCAGTCTGAACAGGAAGTACGAATTACTCAGAGTGAATTTGACCGCCAAGCAGAGATTACCAGACTTCTGCTGGAAGGAATCAGCAGCACCCATGTGAGTACCCAAAATGGGAGGCGAGCTGGGAACACTCAAAATTGGGGCCCTAGGACAATAACTAGAGTAAGCTACTTGGGAGCTGCGGGCTACTGGTTTTCATTTGMATGCCTTAGAGCATCAAGCAACTCTGTTTATTTTTGAATTATAGTTTACTATCTTCAGAGTTTACATTTAGATCCTCTGTTAATTCTGAGAACTTAAGAATTTTCATTTTTATGATTTTCCCTGAAGGTTGAAACCACAAAAAAAGTGCTAAAATATTAATTCCATTGTGCAAATAATGCAGGTAAATAATGATATTATGCCTGTGCTGTAGTTACTTGAGGGGCTTGATGTGTTGCCTCTGTGACATTTTTTCCCAGTTACCTGCTACACCCAGGCACTATTACTGCATGGTATAAATTCCTTTGTGCCAATGTTGTCATTACCCCTCCATTAGGAGACCAGTCTTTCTAATGCAGTGTAACACTTTCCAGAGTGAAAATGTAAAGTCTTTGCTATATTACAGGCACATCATCTTCGCTGTCTGAATGATTTTGTTGAAGCTCAGATGACCTATTATGCACAATGTTACCAGTATATGCTGGATCTTCAGAAACAACTTGGAAGGTAGTAATGCTGCAAAAACCTTTCTGGTTAAGATTTTTTTTTTTTAAGGGCTTATCTATAGTAGGAAAGCTTATGCTGTTCTGCAGCCATAGTACACACTCCAGTACAGGATTGCTGAAGTGATAGAAAGTAGATATGTTTTAGTATGATTACTCTGGAATTACTCTGATGTACCTACTTCCCTAAGCCTATTGATGTGACTAATGCCTTTTGAGGATAGATGTAGTGAGATATTGCATATTTTGTAACTGAGAATGGAGAACTCATGGTAAACTCATTTGATGGCACAAAGATAATTTTTTAGAGTTTTATTTSTAATTGTTCAGTTCTCTAATACTTTAACCTAGAAAACCACAATGCAATGTCGGAAAAGCTGTTGKTGTGCCTGTAGGTTCATGTTGCTTTTTAATCTGACACTGCCCGATTTGAAAATGCAACTGCATTCTCTACTGTAGAGTAGAGTTGCTAGCATATGTGACATACTTGGGGAGCAATGTACTTCAGAATGTGGGAAATCAGTAATCCAAAGGAGTAGCAGCATTGGTACGGTAAGCAGACCTAGTTTTCTGGTTATCTAGTTCTACTGTTTAGTGGATGTAGCAGTTTTTAAAGTAAGAGTATAGACTGTCAGACTATTAATCTGTGCTCTTAATCCTTTCCTTGCTATTTGTTATGATGTAAAAAGTTTTAAATTACTTTTCATAGTTTCTCTATTCAAATTCTCCTCTACCAATTGGAGTCTTTCTAAAGGTTATTCCAGATAATGTTATTCAGGTGAGCAAATGTTGTGAAGAGTTGCCTGTGCATAGAAGTTTGCTGTTACAGCTATTCTAAATAACTAGGTCTGTAAAGTGCCTCTTATTTCTTTTTCTTTTTTTTTTTTTCCATCTCTGTGAAGAGGAAGTAAAAACAAAACTGTGTTCTTGAGTCTTGTCCTTGTACTGATTTGCAACTTCCTGTGGCGTTTGATCTCCTTTCCTGAGTTTGTTTAAATGGATGAARACTTTTCCGAAAAGACTGTTTGGAAACAGTTTGTCTAAAAAGTCTTCAAAAGTATTCTTTTTGTAAAAAGCTGTATCTTTAATGCCACATGCTGCTGAAAAACATATACAGCTATCAAATTAGGTAGCACATAAATGCAAATAGTGAATCGAAAGCTTGAGATTAAACATTCACTGGAGCAAGGGCAATAGCTAAATGTAATATATGTATTATATACTAAGGCTGCTTTGAGAAGAAGGGATTTTTAAAATCTGTATTCTTAATCTAATTTACTTACCAAAAAATACCTAAGCATAATAGCATTAACCTAAAAAAAGATAGTATTTCTCTTTAAATATCTCATTTTTTTGTAAATATCTCTTGCTTTAGGATATATAATATGTCCAGAACACATGTCTTTGTTGTATGTATAATGCAATTAAGTGCAAAATATATATTTGAAGAAAATGCTGCTTTTAGGAAAACAGAAAGATACACCTGTATGTGGCTATTTTCTAATTAGTATTTCTGATGAAACTATTGTGACTGCTATAAGACTAAAGCATAGAAACTTTTCAAACATCCAAATGCTTCAGTGAAAATTATGATAATGCAATTTATCTAGCTACATAGATTGTGAAACAGCAGTGATGATGTTAAATCTTGGACCTATCTTTCCTACCTTCCTTGAGCAAAGAAGCTGCACTGGACTATTAAAGGGGAGTGTTGGGACAGTATGCTATACATARGCAGATCCAGCCACTAAATACGTAGCGTAGGCAGCTTAACTGGTTGTATTTGTCAGCACTTGTTTAAAAAGTGGCTTACAGTGCAGTGTWACACATGCAATTTTCATGCATCTATGAATGATTTGTGCTGTATTCTCATATGAAAGCCAGGAGGGATGTGGGATTTATTTTTATTTTGAGATTTTTTAGTGGCACAGAGGTTTGCAAGGTCCACCTGGGATAGTCCATTGCTTGAAATGGAAACCAGATTCTTAGGGTAGATTCATGTTACATGTTTTACCTCAGGCAGAACCTAAGGCTTAAACCCTAACCCAGTTCACACYGAGACTGTTCAAGTCTCAGCGTTGGTGGTGTTGCTGTACACTGCACACTCAGCTGTATCACAAGGTGGTGGAAACTTGTGCTTAGTTCTCTTTATATAAATAGACATGACTTTATGGATGCTTCTTTTCAAGACAGCACCAGCTGCTTATCCCTCTCTTGCTTCCCCCTTTCTGTGYCTAAAAAATCTAATGTCCCTTGTTAAAAACAATCTCTTCTCTTTTTTTCCTCCCCAGAATGAACTAAACAAATGTATTTCAACGATCCTGGTTCTGTGGGATTTTTTTTCTTTTTTTTTTTCTTGCTGATAGCAGCTTTTGCTGTGAATTTTCACAGCTTCTTTGCTAGCCTAGCCTAAGCTTTGGCAACATTCAGTTTTCAGTCTAGCCCATTACTAGTCGCCTTCTCCACAAGCTGTGAAACTCTTTACTACTGAAGTGTTTAAAAAAATCCAGGAGAATGTCTGTATAGCTGAAGATTTTCAGTAATGTGCCTACATACAGCAATTTAGCAGTATTCAGAAACAGCTGATGTCATTTAAAATGTATTTCCTCTGCTTGAATGCCAGCTGTTAACGTAATAAATATATCCYAGGGCATGGTTGAGTGTCCCTACTAAAGTGCCTAACCCTTACTCTTCTCCTGTTGTTCTTTGGAGGTGTTTTGCTCAGGGGACTTGGTGAGCTGATGCAAAAAATAAGTCTGGCCGATGAATGTAACTTGTCTGTTATGTTTTGCTGGGGTTGCTTTCTCTACTGCGTGAGCTAAACAAGCTCTTTTTGATTAAATAATGGCAAGGTGAGCCAAAGGGGGACTTCATCCTTTTGACAATGGTAAACTGCTAACTCACAACAGTATCCTGAAACTGTATCAAAATTCAGTCTGACTCTAAAGGGGATATTTCAGTCCCTCACACTGTACTCCTGCTATTTCCCTTTAGACAGCTGGGACAGTTACATGGCTGCAGGGTGAATATGTTCAAGCCATTCTGATGGAAAGTTATGAATCTTGGTCATCTTTGTTGGAGCAGGTTGTTGAATCAACACAGAAGCAACTGACTGCTACAGCTGACAAATCTCAGAGAAGGAGCATTTCTGAAATGAGAGAGAGAGAGAGAGAGAGGAGTAGGACCATCCTATATAGAGGCTATGTAAGATTAGATAGAGTGTGAAACTGTAAACTTAATGTGCAATGCTGCTGCAGTTGATCTAGGCTGGGGCTAGCTCAATTCCACCTGTGTTTGCAGCCATGCAATCCAAAATGTAGTCACTGATAGATGTAGTTTTCACCTGTATCAGCTCTCTAATGCAGCTCATCTGAYGACTATGAGCAGATGTGGGTGTGGGAATACACTGATCTTGATTTACATGGTTGAAGTTGCTATGGAAGTGCATCTTCAGGAAGAGCTTAACTGGGAAGTGTAGGTGGGAAGAGATGAGATGAAACAGCGCTTTCTGATAGGCTCAGATAYGCAAAATGAATAGATCATCATTTTGACAGAAGAAAAAAAATAACAGGAACATGTCATGTCCACATCCAGAATATTAATGAAAAATAATCATTGCCAATCACTACCATAATAGTGAGGAAAGCTATGGGTGGGAATCACAATAGTATTGACTGAATAGTTGATGTATAGATTAGTCAGAAATAAATTGCAAAGATGAAATAGTGCAGTTCCACATCATCCTGGCTCGGCTCAGCTCCGGGGTGCCAACTCTCACCTTTTCCTCTGCATCAGCTCTGCCCCTTTTCAAACCCTTCACTTGACCTCTTTTGAAGGTAGCAKGAGGTGAGTGTTGGTACAAAGGCAGGCAGCAAGAGACAAGGCACGACTGCATCAACTGCTAAATAAAATAGTTTGAGCTGCCGTGGATCTGCATCCCAGGATGCAAATCTAAGTGATCCAATCTCACAGCTTATCGTTGCTCCTACATCTGTCAAAAGAAATTTCTTCCTTGCTTTCCCCTGTCCTCCTATTTTTCAACCATGTGTTTTTGTCCTCTCCCTTGTATCTGCTGTCATTCATCATGTTCTCTCTTTTTTTCAGTTCACCAATTCAGTAGGTGATTATACTTTTTTTTACCAAATTGGTTTTCAGCCAGGTAAATGGAATTGACTTTCTGGAAGGGTATGGCTAGTACTAAAGCTGCCACAGAACAAGCAGCACACTGACCTGGAAAAGAGGGACTCATCTGAGTTAAAGTTCATCTTCAGTGAAACAAGTATTTTTGTTTTGCAGTCTGCAGCAAGCTAGATCAACAAACTGATTTGGGTTATCAAAAAAACAAAAAACCAACAAACCATGGATTACTGTGTTTTTGCAGAGAGAGGGTGTGTTTTTAACCTGCATTATTTCCCTGAACTGGTTCACCAGCTGAGTCTTTTGTGTAGCTACATAATTGAGGAATGAGCAACAGGGGGTGGAGGCTACTTTTACTGGCAGAGCTGCCAAAAGAAATATTTATTAAACTACTGAATTGAGTCTAACCAACAATGCATTTCTTATCTCTCGCAAGAGGCAAATACCAAGTTTTATAAGGAAACAATCTTTTTTTAAAAGTATATTTGTTTCACTTATCCTACAGGTTCAGAGAAAGTACCTTTTTTTAGGTTTATTACAAGCATTAGCACTCTTTTGCTGCTGCTGTCTCCTTGTGTTTCTTCCATAGTTGATAAGAAAAGCGAGAATTCAAATTTAGGCACGGCAGCATGTATGACTCTCCTTGTAGAACTGATTCACCCAGTAGTCAGTTTGTTTTGTTTTCCTCCGCAGCTTTCCATCCACCTTCCTCTCTAACAATAATCAGTCTTCCTCAGCCCCTGTGCCAAACGTTTCTGCTCCCTCCGTCTTGGCCTCCGCCTCTGCTTCGTTGCCTTCAGTAAGCAATTCAGTAGTTACTTCAGGCTTCAGTGAACTGAAGTCACTGAGTGGCAGCAGGAAGGCAAGAGTTCTCTATGATTACGATGCTGCAAACAGCAGTGAATTATCACTACTTGCAGATGAGGTAAGAGTTTTCTAAGTACTTTGATTGTTTAAGAGTAAAATCGGAATGCTTGTGATTAACCAGTAGAGATGTGCTGCGTAGCTGGTAGCTGCTGTGTAGCTACCCATAAATATGGGTAGCTACATTTTGATAAGAACTTCAGTAGCAGTGTGATTCAGAAGCTAAAATTGTCTTGTACCTGTTTATTTTGATATTCTTTAGTGAGAGCTAACTATTTTAATGCCTGCATCGCTTGCAATAATATTTTCTAGACAATCCAGCACAATTCCCACTGTCTTCCTTTTACTATCTCCTGTCATTGAGAAGTCCCAGTGTCCCTCCCAACACCATCCATCCTTCTATCGTGCCCTTGAAGATTCAAGGAACTTGCTTTTAGGTGGTCTGTTAAAATTACAGTTGATAGTGATTTTGTACACATGTCTATGTGTACAGAATCTAATAGGGGRAAAAAAAGGGGCAATTAACCAATTTCACATGAAAAGTTTTTTTTCAAGAGAGACTTCAAACTATGCTACCRTATCTGCTTTTCAATTAACCAGCGGAGAAATTGTTATGAACACTAGCTTATTTTTGATGAATGCTTATATAAAATGTTCTATTTAAGTTGATTAATCTCAGTTTTAAGGTCCTGTAAATCACACGAAGGCAGAGTGCAATGTTTCCCAGTCATGGCAATGTTCTAATAATCTGTTTCTGTTTTCTAGGTGATAACAGTGTACAGTATCCCTGGCATGGATTCAGACTGGCTGATGGGTGAAAGGGGAAATCAGAAAGGCAAAGTGCCTATTACTTATTTAGAACTGCTAAACTAAATGGTTGGTTTGAATAAAGACTGTCAATTATGGTGACAACATATTTATATATGATTAACGTAATGTAAGCAGGTTTAAGTGTCTTCCATGTTACTGTCTTAAGGGACAAATACCAGCCATTACAAACTGGCTTTTCTGCCAGCGTGGTTGCATGGTAAATACTCTAGTCAAACTTAATGTGTTTAAAGCTTTTACTTTATGTGCCAAGAACATGTTTCTTACAGTTTTGTTTCTACTGAAGTTTTCACTAATACAAGCTTCTACTTTTTGAGTAATCTAGATTGAAAGCAGGAGGTACTGTTTTCTACTGAATTTTTTCATTAATGGCAAGCTTTTCGTCACATAAAATAAACTTATTGTGAATTGATGCAGGTGTAATGCACATTATTTGAATAATCAAAAGCCCTAAGGAAGTTTTTATGGTTTGTTTACCAATATATGTGGATTATAGATTTTAATGAAAATTTGCATTCAAAACTCTTACGCAGTTGCTTGGTTTTTTGTCATGTTATAATTAGATTTAGTTACTATTGCATGTTCATTATCAGGGCAGGAACATCCCCACCACCACCCTCCCTCCTCACAATATGCAGGAAGAAACCAAACATGAATGAATCCTCAAAATGACTTTGGCAAACACAGTAGTATTTACAACTAAGAACTTTTTTTTTTTTCTTGAAGGTCCATTAGACTTAATTCTGTTTAATAAACAGAATTGGGAAGGAAATCATTCTTGTCAGAAGGTGCAGCACTTACAGAGGTCTAGTTTGACTCTGCAGCTCTCACTGGCGCTAGTTGCTTAGCTAACTCCTTCTCACCAACAACTGCAAGTTCTTTATCATGGCAAATGTGTATTGCTGAAGCTTTCATTGATAACAGTGATTTTTTAAAAAGTGTTTTTATTTAAGTCCTCTTGATTTTTAATCATTTAATTGGTTCATCTATTGTAGCCTTCTCAGGGCAACTACCAAGAAAATCCTAAATATGTTCAGTCTCTCAATTGCAAAGACTAGAGGACACCTCAGTAATAATTCCTGATGACCTCAGTAATAATTCCTGATTCATCATGACTAATTTATAAGGCATTAAATAAAATGTATAAGAAGGCGTAGTCCTACATTTAAGAAAAAGGAAAAAAAAAACAATAATTTCACTCCAGGGAAGGTCACCACTGTAGTTTTCTCCTGCAGTCATTCTTACCTCGGCGTGAACTGTCATCACATCTGCTTAAAATCAAATCAATATTCATTTGATTTAATTTATCATCATAGACTATTTAAGACTACGTATCTCAACTAATTCTAGAATCTAATAGACTCTTTGCTAAACTGAATCATTTGCTTCCTGTTAAAATGCTATGGCATGTTTAAAGAGCAACATTTAAAAAGTTAGAAGGGCTTTAGTGAAATAAAATACTACAGCTAGATGAAAACAGCATCTAGCAGCAGTCAGAAGTATTAGTTTTGATATGTCAGCAGCTTAAGCTCTGTGTTGGGAAAAAGACTTTTAGTCCAGCAAAACTGTAAATTCATATTTTCAAGTCTTTAAACCAAAACCAGATTTCTACCAATTAAAAAGGTGCTACTGTTGTGCTAATTTACCATTCCTCATGGTTCTTCCTTGTACCATTGAGAAGGGAACCTCGTAGAAACAGGCTCGTTTAACATCAGCTATTAAGTGGAAGAGAACTTTATTGCAGGAAACTCAGCCTCTTTGGATGTCATTTTGTGGAGAAATTTCAAATTTAAATCGGAGTTCTTCGGTTTCCCTTTAAACATTTTATACACCAAAGATGTGAGTATCTCCAGCTTGCTGTTGGTCTCATTTCTTGACTTAGTTTCCTGTTTTCTTTGGAACATTTTTTTGGGGAAAATCGTAAACCAGACCACCAAAAAGTACTGTGCATGTTGCAGAGATTTGGGAAATTAACTATCCAACTTGTAATAAAAGTGAAAAATATGCATTTGCTTATACCTAATAATAGTTCTGGCAGGACAGCTGTATTCTGAACTTTTACCTAAGGATGTATACATGTGGGGATAAGTACTTTCCATGGCTGTTCAATGCGTACCTTTTTTTCCCTATATTTACAGGCTTTTTACTTCTTTAATTAATGCTAGGAACTTGGAAAATTTCAACCAGAATAGCCATCCTCTATATACTCTATAACAAAATCCAGTGAGTTCTTGAAGAAGTTTATGAGTTTTTGTGGCAGATGGGATAATACGCAGCATTAACATTAATAAAGTAAGTGAAAGCTTTTAGAAAGCTAAACACTACCATTATTTCTACCATAATTGCTGTTTTTCTGCTTTCATAATCAGATCAAGTTCCAAAAGTAACCCSTGTGAATTATTACCTGAAATACTGGTCTGGGCTTTTTTGCAAACTGTAAGTGCTCTGTTGAAATAGAGCTTGACTTACAAGCYGCACATTGCCAAGTCCAACAGCAGCGTGCAGAAGACAGAAGAGCAAAATAGGAAATGCCCACATGTGGAATCTAAATGTATTTTAACAAAATCATGCAAATGATTGGAGTGTGTATGTGCTTAGGTTAAAATAAATAACAACTGAAAACATGTAGGTGCATGCTATAAAATAACTATTAGCAGAATGATATAACATGATATAGTGATTCTGATTAATTATATAAAAAGAGTAATTATAGCTTGGATTCTTTGGTTATAGGTAGCTGTACAACTGGACCCTAAGTTTGGCCTCAGAATGGAGCTTTGTACTTGCCCTTTCCTGTATTGTTCTCAGAGGAAGGAATAGGCACAGCAGTTCCATTGCTAAGTCTGCACCAGGGAAGAGGTGGGTTTAAAAAGTGTGTTGGAACAGTCAGGTAAAGCAATTAGCAAATGGRTGAATGCTGGTTTGCCAAGAACTGCCAGTGGAAGAGCTGGTTATCAGAGGGTGCAATAGACACATGCTACTTTTTCAGTATTTGGCTACAATTCACATYAAAATAAATGTATGTGAATGATAGGGTGGTGGGGGTTTTTTGTTTGTTTYTGTTTGTTTTTTGTTTTTTTGAATATATGGCCCTTTTTGAATGAGGAGAAATTCTGCCTTCTTGGTATTTTAGGACTATTGCTGTTTCAAGCAGTTCGCAACTAATTTTAATTTGTTCCCGGGATACCGACCCAACTGAGATTAAAAATAACTCCTATTTGACATAGAAAGACTAAACTCACTTCTTTCCTGCAGGGAAAGAACCCTTAAGTCCAGTTTGTGTCCTGCCCGAGCAGGTTTTAGAGGGCTTCTCTCTTAGCTTGACATAAACTTGGTTTAGAAAGGACTTTTGAAAAAAAAATACCGTTAAGCAATTGGGAGGACTTGTGCATTCACATTTTCTATGGTGTCTAAAAGCAGAGTGATAGGAGAATTGTAAGATTCTTTGCAGTTCTTTGGTATTCTATATGATTTATAAAGAGGATTTTTTTTTTCCAAAACTACCCATTAGTTGATTTTMATGTTCATCAATTCATCAAGGGCTTAAATATTTTCCAACTTTTGTCCTGGTAAGAAATAAAAGGCTCATTAGTAGTTTAGAGAGATGTTCTCTCCAGGATTGCTGAGTGCAAAGAGGAGTACTACTGAGCAGCTACTCTGTCTTCCTGCGGTTAAATACTGGAAATTATTTTTACAGCAGCTTATATCACCTTTGAAATTGTCTTCACAGTCTCAGGACCTTTCGATAATACCATTTTCCTTCTATCAGTAGTACATTAGAATTTAATCTGAGAGTTAATTATAGGCAGCAMTAGTAGGAGATTAAATAGAAACAAAATTAAATCCCCATGTGTTTGTTTATCAGCGCTGACTAATGGCCTTGTGGATATCAACTCTTTTTTTTTCCCCAGTAGTGTGACCAGAGATGTATTATATAAGAGGAATATTATAGCATTATATATGGTAATATATACAAAAAAATAGTTAATTTGCCTCCATAATGTTTGAAAACAATTCTCATTACAAAGTACTGCKGTACTATAGTCATTTTTAATTTATCTTGTGTAGAATATGAGTATTCATACATTACATTTGGTCTATCCAGTCTCTTTAAAAAAGAAAAGGAAAGAAAAAAAGGGAAAAAAAAATCTTTCTGCCAAACAGCTTCATTAAAGTTCATTCTGTGAGTTTGACAAATGCTCTCCGCTCATCCTTAATAGTTGCATGATAAGAGCATCCGCAGATCAGCTTTTAGCACCAATTGTCATTTTAATGTCCCATGACAGTGCATTTACTAGTGTCTCAATCAGTCATGGTGCAGAAGAGGCATGGGAAGCACAGCGTGTCTAGCTGCTTTTGCCAGATTATGGTCACGATTGCCTGCTTCCAGCAACTACTTTCTGCCTCTGGCAGCTTGTCCATCTGGCTTTTAGASTTGGCAGCAACACACACATTATAATGATGTACCCTTTTAAGCACAGACATTTGAGAATATATCTGTGACTCAAATAAGTACTATCTAATTATCCAGTACTATTAAATACAAGGTACCATTGATTCCCTTGCAGAATCCAGTGGGATGTGGGTTGTCTCATAATAGCTATGCTCTTTCCAGGGGTTATTATTATCTTTAAAGATGATGAAAGCTCTGTCAAAATGGCAAAGTCTGCTGTGTATTAAATTTTGTAGTATTTTCCAGCAATTTCTGGAAGAAATATATATGCCATAATATATCGAACATAACCAAAATAGTTGTACTTTAGATTGGTATTATCCAAGCTCTGATTTTCTAAGACTCTGTCTGGCCAAGATATCTGATTTATCTTAGGTAAATTCTCTTGCTTTTATTTCTGTATAGCTGGGGGAATTCAGTGGAGAGATGCCTTGATTTTATAACAGTTTGCTTTATCTTCCTTTCTTAGCTTACTTCTAGTCCTTGGCATTGGGTAAGAAGCTCTCAAGCAAGGCTGTTGAAGAACTCCCCCCAAAAACAAACTCAAAAATTTAGAAATAAAGCTCAGTAAATCTGAAATTAAATCCTCAAGATTGCAGTGTGGGAAGAACCCTGAGCAGAGTCTGCTGTGGATTTTTGCACAGCAGAGAGGGAGGGTGAACATAGGCACCATGCAGCAGGATGTGCAAACAACAGATTTTTTCCTCACTGTGGGAAAAAAAAAAGTCCTCTATAGCAGGGTATACGAAGCCACAGAGATCGGGGGTGCAAACCTAGGGGAGACCTATATTGAAGACTCATTTTGCTGCCCATGAAGGGATTCCTGTCAGTTTTGGTGAGGGTCTAGGAGGTTACTGACAGGCTAATTGTGGTAGCCCTGATCTTTACTTTTGCATGTAGCATTACAGCCCAGTGGTTTGCATAGGATGATGTGTTGAACGGATTGTACACAGTT